CATATAATTTGATGGTAAATACGGTGAACTTTTTCATGGAACGTTCTGTAACCAAGACTAAGGTAAACATATAGAGATGCCTGCTTGAATCTCTCCACGGCCGCTCAGTTAATCTGCTTTGGTATTTCTTTCACACAAGCATACATGCGCTTATGCACACACATCACGCGTCTTTTACTTTCTTACATATACATGAGTTCCGATGAAGTCATGAGAAAACGTATATAAGTGATAAAACGAATTGAAAATAAAAATGGACTAGTAGGGGTGATAATGAGAACATAAAGTGAGACATTAAGTAATGGGAAGTTGGCAAGAAGGTCAAGCAGAAAGTTGTGAACAAATGATAGATATAACATGTAAACAGTCAACGCAATACAGAAACAAAGTCAAAGAATAAACACTAAACGCATGGAACTGAAATGAGTGATGTGGTTACATCTCACCTACGCGCTGCTATGCGAGTGTCCACGATCCGAAGGCCACTGCCCCGAGCAAACAGTTCAACCTTTCCATTCTGTTCGATATGAATGGGTCAGTTCAAGTCATTTACCCCGGCGACATGTTATATGTGATTGTTGTATGTGACTCGCTTGCTTTATGTCTGTATGGGTATGTTTAGTGGCTGTGTGTTGTATGTTTTGCATCGTGATTGTGCGGTGATTCTGTTGCCTACTCTGTCTTGTATTGTATTATCCAGTATAGTGTTTTGCTCTATATAGATTGCATCTTGACTTTCTGTAATTTGGAGATTGCAATCAGTGGTATGGGTGTGTATTATGTAGGTCTTACAGTGGTTGTGTAGAGTTTGAGTTGAGTTTGAGAAACATTTGATCTGTAAATAGTTATGCTTGATTGCCTTAATGTGTGTTGTGCGTGTTTGTGTGACTACCGTTTCTGCTGAAATGTAAGCCTAACATGTTTCCCATGGTTGCATATATGTCTGTGTTGTTTATTGTGATGGTCTGTATTGTCCATTTGTTTTCATCGGTGTTGATCGTGTTTATGGCTGTTTCTGTGGCTGCTTCCATGATGCTTTTGGACTTGGATGTATGTGATATGTTTTGTGTTATGCCGTCAGCATATGCAGTGTAGTTGCTGTAGGGTGCTGGGTGTGGCAAAACGGCTGCGTCAAGTCTTGGTGATAGGACGCTGCCCTGTGGAATTTGGAGGCCTACGTGTAAATCTAGGCGAATGTTGGCCGTTCTGTTATCCAGGAAATTGCATAAGAGGTGTGTGAAGTGTGGAGGCAGTTGCAGCTGTGTTATTTTGTGTTTGAAACCGTCATGCCAGAACTTGTCAGAGATCTTGGTGACGTCTCGTAGTATGATGTTGGTCTGGTGCTTGTTAGCGAGACTGTGAGCAATCTCCTCGTATGCGCTCGATTGCGCACCAGCCCTCTATGTGGGCGAAGGCCGTGTTGCTTTGTGTTGTGTATGTTGTTGTCTTCAAGGTGTGTTTTGAATCTGTGTGAGATAAGTTTCTCTAACAACTTCCCGGGAACTTCCTGCAGTTGGCCTGAAACTGATCTCATGAGGTGGCTTCCCTTGCTTGTTGCTTGTTGAAAATCTGTCAGAGTTTGTAAGCATAAAGAGTGGCAGATGTTGCATGATTTTGTGTTGCTGGTTCGTGTGTGCGCGTATCTCATGTCTTCTGGTGTGCTGGGGTGTGAGAGAGAGTTGTCTGGCGAGTGTGTTGAGTGAAATTGTTCGCGATGGGAGAATCAGGTGTTGCAGTTGTTATTATGACTGTATAAACTTGGCTTCTGTGTCTGGGACAAATGTTGTGTTTTCAGGTTTTCTCTCTCTCTCTCTCTCTCTCTCTTTTTTTTTTTTTAGGAATGTACGCTTCGCGGGTAGTCTGTATGTCTGCCACTGGTTAAGGTGCTGGTCTGTGGTGTTTGTGGGTTGGCGCCCGAAATCTGGAGTGTGTGTGTGTTCGAGAGCTTGTTTAAACCCTTCCCAATTTGCGTGATTAAGGAACCATGACTGGGTAGGTGGAGAGTGTAAGTATCACGGGGAGGTGATCGCTGGATATGACACTGTAGTGAATGCAAGCCTATGGTGCTGTGTATGTTGTTGTCTATGGTAAGCGATGAAGTTACCCTGAGAGAGTCAAGTTGTGTTTGAAAGGTGTCATATGTTTCCGTATGTTTGTTTTTAAGGGGCGTGTCACGTTATATGTCACGTGCGACGTGCTACGTGGTGTGAAAGAGGCCGCAAGGTATCTGTAGCCTGTGGGCTCCGCAGCAAAGAGGCGGATTTTGTTAAAAGATATTAGTGTCCCTCAGGAACTTAATAAGACCTATGTAACAATCCTCCCTCAGTACATTTTTCAGTGTATATGGGGGGACAATTATTGACGCGAGATATCATTTGTTATTGAATACCGTCACTTCCTGGGCAGTCTTACGCAGCAGAATACATCTTCTTGTGCAAAATTGGCAAGTTGTATGGAAGTTCTACTGCAGTCCTACAGGAGTACGACATTGGACGTCTTTTCTTTTTCGCCCGAAAAGTGGAGAATCGGGCGGTGTAAGAGGAGAGAGATCTCAGCCATGGATTCAGCTAGCTCATTTGAACACACTAGAAGTCATTTAGAGATCTCTGCATCACTGCAGTTGATCTAAATAGATTCCAGTCTGCCTGTTCGAATAGCCATCTTCACCCCATTGACTGGAATGCCACTTACCTCTTCTAGTAGAATTGGACAGAATTGGAAAGAGGTTAGATTAGGTCGCTTCCTTCCATGACCTGCCACTATCACTGTTCAGAAGGACTGATCTCCTCTTGACAACAATTACTCCAAGGCCCTTCCTCGAGGGTTGCACAAGGTGTCTCTCCAGAGGTGATGCTAACCATTGAAATCTCACAACAGTAGAAATGGATGAGGCAATTGCTCACTTGCTTCTTCCAAATCATCTATATTGAGATTATGTGGAGGAAGGTAGATGGATGCAGCACTGTTGTCTGCTCCATGACGTCCATTGTCAAAGGTCCCATACTGGCCTTGAACTTGGAATCCTCTCAGGGAAATCAGACGATTTTCCCCTGATATGATATCTCGTAGGCATACACAAACTGGGTTAACATGAAGCTATTAGATGTTGCAGTTCCTCCCATTTTGTATGAATTATCTGCCAATTCCATTTGATCAGGGTATCCAGTTCTTCAAGTTGATAAGCTACCGTTTCATCACCTTTTTGGTTAATAACAGATTGTATGTTTCTACCTTGATATAATTTGATAACCCCGGACAGCCAGCAAGAGCGCGTAAGTTTCTTGATACAAATTTCTTATAGAGGTGCATGAAATGTTTATGTGCCTTTTTCAGTAATATATCAATTTTCACTCGATATATGTAAAATTTAGAGTCAATCATGACCGCCATTGGAGCGAAATGGTAAGAATTTCCAACGTGTCCGAGTCATATGACGTAGTATTGACTTCGGTGGGATAAATGTTTTCCAAAATCATTATGCACCCCTATGATATAACCTTACAGGTCAAAAATATCAAAGAAAGGGCTGTGTGTCTTGATTTGTCGATATAATTCAATCAAGACAAGTAAATGCTTGTGCTTATTGGAATTATCCAGTTATCTAATTCGGACATTGCATGTAAGACCTCATGCACCTTTCAGTGTTCATATGAAGAACCATGTATGCAATAAGAACAAAAAAAATGTTTTGATTGAATCTGAGAAATGCATTTGAAAGATCTACAACCTTGCAAATTGAAGAATGGCGTTGCAAAGTAGTCATGAAGTTTTTCCGTTTTATTTGAAGCTGACACAATGTTTGCTTGTAATGAAGAATCATACCAGCATATTAAGTACTTTAATGATTTTCTATTTACATTTCAATGTAAAATTAAGAAAAATAACTTGTGTGTTGGCACAAACTTTGATGATATCGTGTTTTGTAGTGACCATAATACACCACCTTAAAACAATGTATCAGAGTGTTAAGGATTTCGGGATGGTTCAAAAAAAGGTCTTAAGTCATTAATTTTATTTGGAAATCTGAAAAAAAAAACCAGAAGTGCAAGCTGGCGGTACCTTTCTTCGCCTCTTGGGTTTTACACACGAACAGTGTTTATTATATCAACATATACTCGAAGATGCTACAATAATTATTATGTTTAAACAATTCAAACTGTCTCTTTGAACTTCAATTCTGCATTATAAAGCATGTTTGATCTGACGAATCCAGTGGCACGCCTTCAATCATTCACGGTGATCGAAAACGACGGAAATATTTTTTGTAACTGAAGCGGAGGTCCTCATAATGCATTTTCACCATATTATATGTAATCTGTTTTATTCTACAAGTATAAGCTAATATAAACATCCGCATTTTGATCTCATTAGTTTCCCTTACTTGAAGAGGTTTAGATGGATAATTTAAAAGGAATTTAATACAGGGAAGTATGAGCGAAAAAAAGTGTCGGGCAGCCAAAGGTTTTAGTATATGAGAATGCTTCCAATAAAGATTAATACTGCATAGGTAATGACCAGTATTATTCAACAGTTAACATCTGATAAAACCTAGGCGAAAGAACTGCGTGATCAACTTTTCCGGGTTGTTTGTGCTTGCTGTTTTATTTTTTTTTTCCCGCAACCAAATATTTCGAAGAACTCTAGGGGAATTGCGTCAGATTACACTTACCATCCATTTCAGATATCCGTTTTCGATATTCGTCACTGCTGCTTCTAATATCGTGTCTTTCTGTATTTAGCGAATGAATGCATGTATTTTCCTTCAAAATGTCAAAGAACAGGAGCAGGAGCAGGGATTTCATTGTATAGAAACACGATTCTCCCGCATCTGGCAAAGTGCCTTCTGAATGATGCCATGTCGCTTAAAACTTACTCAAATAACTATATATAAAAAATGATAGCAACAACATGCCACCAAACCTAAACAACAACAACAACAAGCAGCCCAATAAGCCAAGAAAGAAACGAAAATAACCACCCATAACAAGATACAACAGAATTAAAGAGGAAGATATCACACAGAAGTAGGAAGTTACCATCGCTCGCCATAACACCCGTGAACGGCCGTGCTCCTATCCCTAGCCTTCACTCCCTTCGCTGTGGTTGTGTGAGCGAGGAACCTCATTCTCCATTACTGTGACTTCGTTTTAAAGGTGGGAAGGAAAAGAGGCATTAGAATCGTGGTGTGTGGAGGTTGTGAATGCGTAGGTCGTCGCTTGGAAAATAACCCATTTTTTGAGAAAGTGAGAGTTCGGCAAACCCGTAAAATCACTGGATGAAAGTGACGGGAGATTCACTTGGTAACTGCGTAGCTCTTACTGTGTGAAGACAAGAATGCAGAGGTTTGAACGAGCATACAAAGAACACGTTATATGTGAAGGCCATTTTGGGCGTTACATAGTCACACCCTTGTTTGATTCTAGGACTCGGAAGAGCTAAGGAAGATGACACCCTTTATAAAATGAGAGATAGAGAAAAAAAAAACATGACCTGGCTTGGTTGTCAATCCCAGGAATGCAACTTGCCAAGAACTGGTTCCTCATGCACTTATCGTCACGAATCATGCTTTGTTCTGAATGCAAGGAGTATGGATTGAAATGATGTCAGTTTTGTATTGTTTTATATAAGTAGCACTAAAATTCATTATTCCATGTGCCTGTTTTTTTTTTTTTTATTGCTATTGTTAATGTTGTTATTGCTATTATTATTACTATTATGATATTTCTTGTTATTATTATTAATGTCATTGTTATTGTTACTGTTATTGTTATTATTATTATTATTATTATTATTATTATTATTATTATTATTATTATTATTATTATTTTTATTATTATTATTATTGTTATTTTGTGTTTTTAGTATCATTATTATTATTGTCATATACTGTAATTATTATATATTATCATTGTTATCATTATTATTGTGATGATGAAAAGTGTGTAAATGAATGGCATACACAGGTATACATGATGATGATGATGATGATGATGATAATGATCATTATCATTATCATAATGATGATGATGATGATGATGATTGTTATTGACATTGTTATTATTATTATTATTATAATCATTATTATTATTATTATTATTATTATTATTATTATTATTATTGTTGTTGTGTGTAAATGAATGGCATACACAGGTATACAGGATGATGATGATAATGATGATGATGATGATTGTTATTGACGTTACTATTATTATTATTATTATTATTATTATAAAAATGATAATAATAATAATAATAATTATTATTATTATTGTTGTTATTTTTTAAACTATTAATAGTAATAATAATAATATTATTATTGCTATTTTTTAAATTAAAAATAATATTTTTTTATTTTTTTATTATAAAATTATTGTTGTTATTATTTTTATTATAATAAATAATAATAATATAATTGTTATTATCATCATCATCATCATCATCATCATCATCATCAATATATTTGGTATTACTACAACTACTACTACAAGAACAATGACAACTACTACTACTACTATGTATTAACAGTTGTGTTTATTAATATGCAATTACTATTACTATAAACTAAAACTATCATTATTATTATTGTTGTTGTCATTTGAATTGTTATTTATGATTCTCTTTGCTCTTTACAACTTTTTGGGGGGTTTTACTAGTGATTTTGTTTATAATACTGCTATTACAGTTATCATCATTGTTTTTGTTATTGTCTTGGAATATTATTTATAGTTTATTAAGTTTTAACTTCGTTTCTCATTCCAGACTTGACAAAAAAAAAAAATAAATAAATAAAAAATCTGTATGTATAGTAAAGATCAAGTAATTAATCTGTAAAAATAATAATTATTATAATGATATGCATTTATAGATAGGTAGATTGGTCTATAGATAAACATATTTAAAATATATTTTCACTTTCTGCAGACTTCAAGATGTTGTGGGAACCTTCAGGATGCTGTTGCTTCTCTCTTAGGACTGGAAGCCTGGTGATGGCTTCCATAGTCATAGTACGTAATTGTTGTTACTTTTTTTTTTTTGTATGATCTATACATAATCAGTCCTTAGCAAATAAAAAAAAAAAAGTCATGAGCCTTTGTTAATTGAAAGAACACAGAAAGATGATGTAGAAGGAGGTTATCACCTTCACTGTTTTTTAATGTCTAGCATACGTAAATGTTGACATTCTGTATTATACTTTGTGTATGATTCATGGATCTGCAGTCCATCAGTGGGAAATGTTTTATTTTTATTACTTGAAAGTAAACACAGGAAAGTGTTAATGTGGCTTACCTATTTCAGTTTTTTGGAACATGCAGCATGCTCTATATCGGTGGGTACCTTGCGACTCAGGACTTGGACAGTAGTTTTCTGGAAATCTGCAAGGAAGAGGAGAATATCCCAGACTGCATAACAACGTTGAGGAATGCTAGTATGTTACTCTTGCTTTTCATTTTTTTCTGTGTATGTGTTTGAGTGTGATTGCTTGTATATATACAGGGTCAGTGTTTGTTTGGTTGTGTGTTTAATACTTTATTAGTGATGTAAATACATTTATAAATGTATGTGCTGACTGGCTAAATACTTGGTGATGTCTCTATTTCTGTCAAAGGAATGTTAGCAAAGAAAATGCAAGACTTACATGAATATCATTGTATTATCCATTTGGATGTACCTATAATATTTGTAAAACATTCATATTTGAAATTCCTTTGCACATCAAATTTCCTCTTACAGGTTATGGGATCATTGGAACCAGGTTTGTGTTGGACCTTATTCAGGTGACATTCAGCATCCTCTTGATCCATGGTGTCCTGAAGGTAAGAGCAGGATCTCTCATTTCTTAAAAACTAGTTATTAGGTTCCTCCAACATTCTCTTCATTATCTGCCCTAGTAAAGTATATATACATTTTGGTGGTATATTGTCAAAGAATCTACAGTAAAGTAGCTGTCCCTACTGTGATTACAAACTTCATAGAGCATAATCAGAGAGCATAAGTAGTGTTTTCAGACTACTAATAATTCCTCTACCATTCCAGAACAAGACTCGTTTCCTGGTGCCCTACATGATCATGATCTTAGTTGGCATCTGTATTCTCATATTAACTGCTCTGGCAATGATGGGCGTAATGATGTACGAGGGCCTTTGGAGGGGAGTGTTCATTATTGCCATTATTTTTGGGGCTGTTATCTTCCTCGAAACCTATTTCCTGTTGGTGATTCGTGCGCTTTATCTCCAGGTATGTTGAAGTAGTTTTTGTATAATCATTATTATTATTATTTATTTAATTTTTAATGTCATTTCAGTTTTTTACCATCATCATCATCATCTTTATCTTCATCTTCATCTTCATCTTCATCTTCCCTTTTTTTATCTTTAATATTATCTTTAACCTGTTTAAACAGTTCAACGTATATATACAGTTCATATTCTTTTTTAAACCCATCTCTGTGTATACAGTTCATTTACACAAATACTTGATTTTGATAATGTGCACTTTTGTATAGAGTTCATATACACATATACCTGCATACATAGGTTTATATCTATATCCATTTCTCTATTAACCCATTGCCACCGGGGATGGCATGTTTGTACATGCCATGCCCACTGTGAGTCGACTTGTTTGATTGTTTTTACACATAGATGCCTACACTTGTACTAAATATCCAGTGAGCCAATTACAGTACTGCCTGTCTCGCCTGTTCACCCTTTTCATCGATTTACGAAAATATTTAATGTTATCCTAATTTGCTGTTAAAAATAACACCATCTATATTTATAGCACTAGTAAGAATACGTTTTTTCCTGCCAGTTCAAGGAAAGGTGAAATCACTAGCAGAGCTATCTATGGACAGACATATTTCACAAAAATATAAAAAATGAGTACTGCATTTCCCCCATGTTTTCTTCATTTTTCCCGGCGGCAATGGGTTAATGAGTAAACATATTTGTATATGCACTTGAACTATTGAATATTCACAATCAGTCTCACATTTACACCCCACCCCCCTCCACACACACCTATATAAACCTGTACACACACACACCTATAAACTTGCACACACCTACACACACACACACACACACACACCTACACACATACACCTACACACACACACACACACACACACACCTACACACGCACACACACCTACACACACACACACACACACCTACACACACACACACACCTACACATGCACACACCTACACACACACACACACCTACACACATACACACACCTACACACACACACACACACCTACACACACACACCTACACACACACACACACACCTACACACACACACACACACACACACACCTACACCTACACACACACACCTACACCTACACGCACACACCTACACCTACACGCACACACCTACACCTACACACACACACCTACACCTACACACACACCTACACCTACACACACACACACCTACACACACACCTACACACACACACACCTACACACACACCTACACACACACACACCTACACACACACCTACACACACACCTACACACACACCTACACACACCTACACACACACCTACACACACACCTACACATACACACACATACACATACACACACCTACACATACGCACACCTACACATACACACACCTACACATACACCTACACACACACACCTACACAAACACACACCTACACACACACACCTACACACACACACACACACACCTACACACACACACACACCTACACACACACACGTACACCTACACACACACACGCACACCTACACACACACGCACACCTACACACACACGCACACCTACACACGCACACCTACACACACACACGCACACCTACACACACACACGCACACCTACACACACACACGCACACCTACACACACACACGCACACCTACACACACACATGCACACCTACACACACACATGCACACCTACACACACACACACCTACACACACACACACACCTACACACACACACACACCTACACACACACACACACCTACACACACACACACCTACACACACACACACCTACACACACACACACACCTACACACACACACACCTACACACACACACACACCTACACACACACACACACCTACACACACACACACACCTACACACACACACCTACACACACACACACACCTACAGACACACACACACCTACACACACACACACACACACACACCTACACATACACACACACACACACCTACACATACACCTATACACACACCTACACACCTACACATACACACCTACACATGCACACACCAACACACATACACATACACACACACACCTACACACACACACACATACACATACACCTACACACACACACCTACACACACACACCTACACACACACACACCTACACGCACACACACACTCCTACACGCACACACACACACCTACACACACACACACCTACATACACACACACCTACACACACACACACCTACACACACACACCTACACACACACACACCTACACACACACACACCTACACACACACACACCTACACACACACACACACCTACACACACACACACACCTACACACACACACACCTACACACACACACCTACACACACACCTACACACACACACACACCTACACACACCTACACACACACCTACAGTCACACACCTACATACACACACCTACACACACACACCTACATACACACACCTACACACACACACACACACACCTACACACACACACCTACATACACACACCTACACACACACACACACACCTACACACACACACACACACACACACACTTACACCTACACACACACCTACACACACACCTACATACACACACCTACACACACACACACCTACACACACACACACACACACTTACACACACACACACTTACACACACACACACACACACACACACACACACACACACACACACACCTACACACACACCTACACACACACACACACACACCTACACACACACACACCTACACACACACACCTACACACACACACACACACCTACACACACACACACCTACACACACACACCTACACACACACACCTACACACACACACACCTACACACACACACACACACACACCTACACACACACACCTGCACACACACACACACACACACCTACACACACACACACACCTACACACACACACACCTACACACACACACACACCTACACCTACACACACACCTACACCTACACACACACCTACACCTACACACACCCACACCTACACACACACACACACCTACACCTACACACACACCTACACCTACACACACCCACATACACCCACACCTACACACACACACCTACACACACACACCTACACACACACACACACCTACACACACACACACACCTACACACACACACACCTACACACACACACACACCTACACACACACCTACACACACCTACACCTACACACACCCACATACACACACACCTACACACACACACCTACACACACACACACACCTACACACACACACACACACCTACACACACACACACACCTACACACACACACACACCTACACACACACACACACCTACACACACACACACCTACACACACACACACCTACACACACACACACCTACACACACACACACACACACACACACACACACACACACACACACACACACACACACACACACACCCATGCATGCATACATGTGTGTGTGTGTGTGTGTGTGTGTGTGTGTGTGTGTGTGTGTGTGTGTGTGTGTGTGTGTGTGTGTATCATTTGTTATGTCATCTACAGAGATTGTATGAATATTCACAAACTATATGTCTATTTCAGCTGAAGCGTTCCAAGGGACAGGCTCACGTGATTCTGACAGAAGACACAAATTCAGAAAAGGTGAAAGCTTAAGATGTCACAACCTGAATTGGGAAACAGCTTAAAGTCATGTCAAATTACACCACATATATGGACCAAAGCTTTGAATATGAAAATGGCAAGAATATGTAAGTGGAGATGAACAGGTCAGCAGAACTATGGGTGTAGTACATAAACTATAGACTACTGTAAATGATTTTTCGTAGTATTTATTAGATGTCTGGTCCAGAGAGAGTCTGTCTTACCTATGATTATCATTTTGAGTGATACTGAAATGTGAAATTTGTGTGTGTGTGTGTGTCTCTGTGTGTTTTATGTATGTATGAGTATATATATATATATATATATATATATATATATATATATATATATATATATATATATATATACCATATATATAATATATTTATATATTATATATACTGTATATATATATATATATATACCATATATATAATATATTTATATATTATATATATTATATATATTATATATATATAATATAATATATGTATATATATAATATAATATATATATATATAATATATGTAATATATGTATATATATAATATGATATATATATGATATGTATAAAATATATATATGATATATATATAATATATATGTATATATATAATATAATATATATATGATATATATATAATATATATGTATATATAAAATATATATATGATATATGTATATATATAATATATATAAGTATATATAATATATATGTATATATATACATATATGATATGTGTGTGTGTGTATGTATATATATATATATATATATATATATATATATATATATATATATATATATATATATATATATATATATATTTATATATATATATATATATATATATATATATATATATATATATATATATATATATATATATATATATATATATATATATATATATTTATATATATATATATATTTATATATATATATATATTTATATATATATATATATTTATATATATATATATATTTATATATATATATATATATATATATATATATATATATTTATATATATATATATATATTTATATATATGTATATATATATTTATATATATATATATATATTTATATATATATATATATATTTATATATATATATATATATTTATATATATATATATATTTATATATATACGATATGTATATATATATACGATATGTATATATATATACGATATGTATATATATATACGATATGTATATATATATACGATATGTATATATATATACGATATGTATATATATATACGATATGTATATATATATACGATATGTATATATATGTATACGATATGTATATGTATATACGATATATATATATATATATATATATATATATATATATATATATATATATATATATATATATATATATAATGTATGTATGTATATTGTATTATATAGACATAAACACTTACAAAGGTACTTTATGATATACCAAAAGTTGGTTTGGCATTGAGGATGATACTGAAGAGGTCCTCAAGTCACCTCTTTTCCAGATTTCTTTTCTTTTCTTCAGTATCACTTTCCCCCATTCATGATTTGCAGTTGATAACTAGTTACTGTTGCTCAAGTCATCTTCAAGTGTGATGCACGGTATGTCCTTTACAGTCATCGTTTTACTCAGAATTAATTATTTTATTTTTCCACATCTGTGTGGAGTGTGATTATTCTTATTATTATTATTATTATTTTATTTTTTATTTTTTTTATTTTTTGTATTATTATTTTTTTTTTTTTTTTTTTTTTTTTTTTTTTTTTTTTTTTTTTTTAATGCTAGGTGACCTGATATGTAATTAGATCTTGGGTCAGTATCTTCATCTCATTTTGATTCATCTGTAATGCCATGTAGTTGGAATACAATATTATAGAATGGAATGGAATAGAATGGAATACAATATTATAGAATGTACTTATATTATAAGTAATATCAGTATTCTCACAATTGCATCATTAGGTGCAGTGCTTTATGTAACAAATGTAATAATGAAACAGATATAAAGCCTTTAGGTAAAATGCCAAATTGAACAAAGGTTTAAGTTAGCTTAAAATTGTATGAGTTAATGAAATGCAATTAAACAAATTCTTGATTAGCATCATTGACTTTTTTAAAATATGAAATTGATACATTGCAGGGAAGAGACCACTTATTATGTACAAACTGATGCACTGAAATTGAGTTGTTGAAAAATCTAGTAGAAAATTGTGCAGCAATAGAGCTGTATGTTTTTTCTTTAATAAGTATTTATAAACCTTTCATCATAAGTGGAAGCATATTGTAATATCCAGTTCTGCAATCACTTTTTTCCAGCATGGTGTAGTACCTCTTTTAAGATTTTAGGTGAATGCAAAAACCCAGCTTGTGCGGGAGAGCAGCAGAATATACCGAACAGCTGTAACATACAGTATACCTCATAGATTTCATGCCTTAGTCACAGTCCTCACAAGAAACAGTAGTATATTCTTAGGCTGCTGACAATACTTCATGGAACAATCATATCAAGTAATTTGTGAAAAAGAAAATGACTTTACTCAAATAGACAGTTATCATTGATAATTGTTTTTTAATGTAATAGGTAACTGTATCAAGAATACTCGCTCTAAATACTCTGAACTTTCCTTTGGTAGCAATAAAGTATCATGGTTTGTGGTCAAAATATGTGTGTTTTCTACCTTTTAGTGCTGTCTCCAGTAAGAACTACAGATCCAATGCAGTGTTTTCTGTAGCACATTGAAAGCAAGAATATGAAGAATTCCTAAGCCAGTTACAAGGGAAAAATACATTGGAGGATTGTGTTTACTTATGGTAATTCTGTTGCTTTCTTAGTAAGTTAGTAAATGATTGTCTTAATCAATGATCAGTGTGAACCATGCTATGATTTAATATGATCCTATAATGTAGGATTTTAAATAGAACAAGATCTGATCTTGTACTCTTTTATACGAAAAGCAATCTCTGCTTTTGGTAGTAATACATATGCATGTATTTTTTATACTAAGTAAAAGCTCAATTAGCTCCCAAGGAAATCGTCTTCTTAGTAAAAGATGATGCACATAGAGCAAACACTACATTTAACCAAAATGCAACTTTTCTTTCTCCTTGATTTTGATAAAAGGGTACCTTTCTCTCCCCGATTTTTCACGTTTCTTTGTTTATTTTTTATTTCAGTCTTTTCACTGTCTTATAGTTGGGTGGACAGAGAGCTTGGCTGTGATTGATGGATGCAAACTGGTGAGGGTGGCGCTAGGAGTGTGAAGTCACCAGGCAGGAATGGCAGAATGTCTGGGAAACATCAGCTGCCCACTTCCTGTACCAGTTTGGCAGTGGTGGCTATTATAATTATAATTTTCCTGCTGTATTAAAGTAGTATTTTTTTATTTATGTGATTTGTTTTACATGCTGACCATGAGTAAGGCTTGTGTAATGAGCATTGGTCACAATGTGCAGCAGTCTTATGTTCTGTACGTACCCTCAGTCGGATCCAGCATGTTTCAAAAGCGGGAAGGGCTGAATGTGTATAAGGAGGTGTTGGGGGAGCAGGTCTTGGGGGAACAGCAGCTCTTCCAGTATTTCCGAATCATTCCCCATAAATGAAGCAAGCAATTCAAGTTGGTGAGCTATAGCTGCCATTCTGAAAGAGACTTTTGTAGGCTACGTATTAATGGTCTATTAATAGTGTTCTCAAAAATTACAGCCATTATAATATTACTATTTGCATCACAACTGTTATTTTGTAGCCAAAGCTTCTCACATATTCTTAAGGTATGTATTGTACTTAAGGGCACTATTTATTTTTAGACTGATGGGGGCAGTTCCTCTTACCTTGCATTAAACCAATTCTTGATTAGCATCATGACTTTTTGGAAAATATGAAATTGATACATTGCAGGGAAAGAGACCAATTAATTATGTACAAATGATTGCACTTGAAATGAGTTGTTGACAATCTAGTAGAAAATTGGCAGCAATAAAGCTGTCGTTTTTTCTAAAAGTATTTATAAACCTCATTCATAAGTGGAGGCATATTGTAATATCCAGTTCTGCAATCCACTTTTTTCCAGCATGGTGTGTAGCTAACTCTTTTAAGATTTTAGGTGAATGCAAAAACCCAGCTTGTGCGGGAGAGCAGCAGAATATACCTAACAGCTGTAACATACAGTATACCTCATAGATTTCATGCCTTAGTCACAGTCCTCACAAGAAACAGTAGTATATTCTTAGGCTGCTGACAATACTTCATGGAACAATCATATCAAGTAATTTGTGAAAAAGAAAATGACTTTACTCAAATAGACAGTTATCATTGATAATTGTTTTTTAATGTAATAGGTAACTGTATCAAGAATACTCGCTCTAAATACTCTGAACTTTCCTTTGGTAGCAATAAAGTATCATGGTTTGTGGTCAAAATATGTGTGTTTTCTACCTTTTAGTGCTGTCTCCAGTAAGAACTACAGATCCAATGCAGTGTTTTCTGTAGCACATTGAAAGCAAGAATATGAAGAATTCCTAAGCCAGTTACAAGGGAAAAATACATTGGAGGATTGTGTTTACTTATGGTAATTCTGTTGCTTTCTTAGTAAGTTAGTAAATGATTGTCTTAATCAATGATCAGTGTGAATCAAGCTATTAAATATAGTATAGAAAATTATTAATTGTTGGAAGTTGTTGTCTAGATGGTGAATTAAGAATTATAGCAATTATTACTCTTCAAGCTTTTGAAATCTTATGAGCGAGTTATTATTGTTTTGTTTAATGGTTAATTTTGATATTATTTCAGTTATGATACATGACTTTTGCTTTAAGATTGCATGGGAAGCTTTTATACTCTAGAATGTATATGAGTATCCATTAAAACACTTAGCATGTGAGACAATGAATTAAGGATATTAAAAAATCTAATGCATTTTTTATGCATCTACAATAAATATTTGAGAACCTAAAGTTCATGCCAAGTAGTTCATATGCGAGACTATGACAGATATTTAGTTATAAATGCGGTGTTCTTTGTAGACATTACTAGAAGTGATAATTGCCCACTCGAAGGACTATTTTAAGTACTTTTATCACCATAAATTATTTTGGGACCATGAATTTAAAGATAGATCTGAATAACTGTCCTTTGTTGTGAAATATTGTCATTGAAAAGTGCCTTGAATTGTATGTAATCTCATATGTGTATTGTATTGTAATGCTTTTTTTTCTTTGCTACTTCAATAAACAATTTATATGAACCATGCTATGATTTAATATGATCCTATAATGTAGGATTTTAAATAGAACAAGATCTGATCTTGTACT